TTTACTTTTGATTTTTGTTTCTGATTCATTTATTTTATTTAAGCATGAAAAAATATTAAAATTATTTTTCTCACATTTTTACATTTTTATTTGATATTTATTTGATTTTATTTAGTTTTGTACACAAAATAAACATAATACTTTTATTTAAGATAACTAAAAACAATGCAAATATTTTTACTTTCTGATTTTATTTTATTTTACCCTTTTGAAAACATTTTATAAAAAATATACTCTTTTTTTTTTTTGTAAATATTAAATACTTAATTTTTGTACATATAATATATATTTAATAAATAATGTAAAATACTTATACATTTATTAGTATATTTAAGGAAAATACAAAGAATTAATATATTTTATTTTATTTTATTAATATTTTGACCTCAAAGATACTTTTTTTTACAATATATCTTCTTTTATTTATTTTTGTAAATAATTAATAAATATTGCATATATTATATAATAAATACCTTTTATTTATAAGATTAGGGTTTCACCCTAAATACATAAAAATACCAAAAATTAATTAACTTTATTTTTGTTTATTTGACACATAAAAAAATACTTTTTTTCATACATATAAAAAACCATTTTTTCCATCTTGCACATTTATTATATTTTTATTTAATTGTTGTATATTAAATAGTTTGTATAATTCAATTTGGATGTAATAGTTTAGGTTTAATTTCTTGCTAAAATATCCCCATTTGAACATTTGTATCCCTCATCCCATATATTGTGTTGTAATAACTTAGGACCTTTTATTTTTCGCATTTAAAAGTTTTCTAATTATGCCATGTTAGAATTAGGGTTTGTATGCAAAATTAACCAAAAATAGTTTGACCTAATTCAAAGATAACAAAGCATGAAAATGGACAACACCAATCACACTCGCACCCCTAGGGTTACTCCACTTGTTGCCTTCAATAATGGGCCATATTGCATGTTAAGTATCTTTGGGCAAAAACAAAACAATCAAATGATCATAGTCCCTCGATAACACTTTCAAAAGTTGCCTAAAAATGATCAAGTCCCTTAAAGGAAAAATTGCCCAAAGACACTTGGCACCATTGCAATCATGGTCTAAACGATGACCCGCGCTTGTCCCGTTCACATCCTAACACAAGATTGTCCACCAAATACAATGGTGGAACAAAATTGTTAAAAGGGTTAAAACATAGCAAAGATCTTTGAGAAATTTAGGGTAGATAACTCTTGGTTGCTTGCCCACTTGCAAACAAAAATACTTGCCTATTTTTCAAAACACACATCACTACACTTTCAAGACAAATTTTCAAAACATTGAAAACTTTTCAAAAGACAAATACACCTTTGTATACATTCAAACATGGATCATTACAAAGGTTGCCACCACATTGGCCTCTTTTCAAAACATTTTCAAACCCACACACACAAAGCACCATTTCAAACAATTGAAAGCACCATTTCAAACAATTGAAAATCAAGGCAAGTTGATCTAAGCAAGTAACTAAGAGCCCATGGATAACCATGGATACAAAGGGTGCTAATACCTTCCCTTTCTATAATCTACTCCCCGAACCCAAGAAAACATCTCAAAGGTTTTTGCTGTGCTTTTTAAACCTTTCCTTAGGATAAAATAAAAAGTCGGTGGCGACTCTTGCTCAACCGAAACATTTGCGAAAACAAACGCAAAACCTCAAGTCAGTTCTCCCACCGTATCACAGGGTGCTATTGGGATTTCCATAAACATTGGCAGCTTTAATAGTAACATGGGGAAAAATATCGTGCGACGCGCCCGTCCTTACATGATAGTGAAATGAAACGTTGATTGTACTCTGTACTATTTGTACCACATTAACGTTATCTTCTTTCCTTCTGAACTTCAGAGGATTCTGCGAGCATGAGTTTAGAAGCGAGACCATAGCACAAGGTTATCATAATTTCAAGTCTTTAGAGTCTTCAAAACCGCGTTTGCAGAATCTTCAGCACTTTGTTGTGAGAACCTTTTCTTGGAGTCTTGGGTCTTTAGAACTTCAAGTCTTTAGAATCTTTAGAACTTCTGTCTTTAGAGTCTTCGACACTTGGTCTTTAGAATACTTATCTTTATAACTTTGGGTCTTTTAGAAACTTGAGTCTTTATCATCTGAACTTGAGTAGAAATTTTTGTCTTCAGATCTTCTGACTGGTTTCTTTAGAACCCGTTGTCTTCATAAACATGAGTCTTTAGCATCCGGACTTAAGTAGCAACTTTTGTCTTCAGATCTTCTGACTGATTTCTTTAGACAAACATCAGAGCTTACACTTCAGAGCCTTTTGGAGTGTCTTGCTACTGTTCAACAAAACTTGTGTAGCGCAGAAGCGGGACTAATTATCTTCTAATGTCTTAAACACGCCATCCATCAGAAGCAGAACCTATTTGTTAATTACTCAATAATAACAAACATTAGAGTATCAAAATATTTCATACAACCATACTCATTTGTTATCATCAAAACTCATAAATAATATTACAGAACCAAATCGTATTTTAACAGACAACTCATTATACAAACAAACTCGAGACTTGATTGGACCAATTTGTTGAAAGGATGCAAGAGTTCACCAAATTGAGAAAGATTTAAAGAGAAATAAATAAAAATCAAAGGTGGTACCACCGGTAGTTGTAGATTTGTCCAGAGACAACTATTTCAGTTCATTTTAGTAGTTAATTATTATTTTTTTGTAAGTGACATTGTATTAATATGTTATGATGTCATATATATATATATATATATATATATATATATATATATATATATATATATATATATATATATATATATATATATATATATATATATATATATATATATATATATATATATATATATATATATATATATAAGTTTTCCAAAAAAAAATTATGCATCATTTACTTGTTTTTGTCATGTTTTATTCCTGTTATGATATGTTAGGGAAGATTCTGAAAACCATTTCCAGAATAAAGAGTGGTTCCGAAGATGAATTTTCGAAACATGCTCTGGTACAAGATAGAGTTTATGTGGTTCATATTAGTCTCCTACTACTATAAATATAGATAACTTGTCATATTTGTTTCATACAAAATACAAAAAACCAGGATGAACATCATTTGACATGTTAGAAATGTTCACTTTACCAGCGATGCACCATCAAGAGAATCTAAAATTACTGAATACACCCCTCTAGAAGATCTGCAATACACACTGCATGAACTTCTACCATATGACGACAATCACAAAATTGTGAAGATCGAGTATCACTTAACATCCGTTGACAAAGAAGGGAAGGAAAGCTCGAGTTCACCAACTATGAGCAAAAGATGATCGCTGATTTAAGAGCTATGTGAAGAACCTTTTTCCGTTTGAAATTAAATGTTTCAATCAAACTGAATGCGACTGTTTCAAGATTTATCGATGAAATTATCAAGATGTTACAACGTTCACCTGGATATTGAAGTGTAATATTTGTTATATGTTAAAATCTCTTATGTATTGTTGATTTTATGATATCAATGATATTTTCATTTTGTCAAGTTATTGTTTTTCCAATATATTTTTGTGCTTCTGCTTTGCAAGATTCCAGAAATATACCTCTGAATCCTTTACATATGCTTCTGCTTTGCAAGATTCCAGAAATATACCTCTGAATCTTTTATGTATATACATCTCTAAAATAATTGATGTTTCAGTAAACGTTTGATGCGTCTGAAGATGTATCTCTAAAATCTGAGAACAATAGTATTATTTTTGCGCGGTACACTAGAAGATTATGGAGTGCATTAAGAAATCTCCATCAAAATGGCCTCATAAAAACCAAAAGCAGTAGCATCATTTGCGTCAAATAATAGATATAACAGTATTTCTCCAAATAATAGATATAACAGTATTTCTCCCTATACAACATTAGTTATCAGCTACTGTTTACAAGTAATATCACCTGACAATAAGAGAACATACACCTCTACATTTATACATGTCATCCTCACATTTGATATATTTTTATCATTATACTCTTATTTAACACTTTTAATTTTTAAAAATATAAATTTTTATCAAAAATTTTAAAGGGTGCCAAAAATTTCAAAAAAAGGTATTGAAAATTTTGAAATTTACCAATTTTTTCAAAAAATTCGAGTAATCATTTAAAATAATAAAAAAATTTTGCAATATCATAAATTTCAGTGTATTTGAAATTTCCAGTACATACCAAAAATTTCAAATACACTGAAATTTCTAATATTGCGAAAAAGAAAAAATATTCTGAAAAATTTTATCAGAAATTTCACAAAAACTACTGGAAATTTTGTTCTTTGCTACCCTAATTTGTTCATGGATATTTTTTTTCATTTAGAAAAATAGGGGTGGTGACATGTTAATTTTTCCGATAATGAAAGGTTAAATGAGCTCAAAATTCCAGCCAGCCTTTCTAAATTGCCAGCTCGATACAGACGCCAGCATCAGATTGCTAACACTCCACCATACAATTTACAAGAAATATGCGAGTTGGAAAATATAATGAAGCAACGCCTCCTCTATTTTTATTAAACTACTACTGAATCCATTCTAGTTCTAGTCATTTGCAAATCTAATGCAAGTCATCCTAAATCCAAATAGTTGTAATCATCACTATGAGACCATTCATCAGGAAAACTACATTGCACATTTTATCATATAAACTATTGTCCTAGCTATAACATATAGATAACACGTCAAGGCCTTGAATTAACCTTACTTTTTCCTTCCTAACTTTCATTTCATATGTTACACAGGAGTGAAACACTGCCCTACAATCAAATGAATTAGAGTTCAATGGTCAAGAAAAACTGTACACAAGAATGACTAAAATGAGGCACAAGGAAAAAAAATCCCTTGGGTTAATAATTACAGAACCCCACCCTAAAGGAGGCAGGCAGCTCTGAATGATGAACCCTTCCATATCTGATAATAGGTGTTTCAAGGGTAGTCTCTGTCCACTTCCCCATTAAATGCAAGAATTTAACGGTCCCATGCGGCCTCCGGTCTGTGCCTCAACCAATGAACCATCTCTCCGTCCAATGTAGAGTTATTTATTACAGCATCTAACATTGGGCTACCAAAGAATTTTGGACAACTTCTATACAACCATATCTGGTCTTTGGGCCAGGATCTCTGCGGCTGCTTCTCCTGGATAAACAAAACAGATTGTCATCACTGACATCAAAGACAAAATCACAGAAAGCATATCAAGCCTAGCCTTCAAAATGTCAACAGTGTTAAAAAAAGCTATCCAACTGAAAATCTTTATCTAATTGAGGAAGTTAGAGTGAGCCATTGGAGATAGAAATGTGCCAACACATATTATGTTGGGTGTCCAGACAGTTGCTGAGAACTGGTTTTCTATTAACAAATAAACAAAGACATAAGCTTCATGTAAGGTTGTTTACCAAGTATCCAAGAAATCCTTTCTTTAGTTGGCTTTCTCAGTCACCTAGATAGCAATTTTCAGTAACCTAAGAGAAACTTCTTATTGCAGACGAGATATCTAGCAATAGATGAATTTAAGTGCTCATTTTTAAACTTAGGTACAAGCATCTTGATTCTACATTTTAGAAAAGCAGAGTTGACTGTCCTTGTGTGCCCCTTTTCTAGTTTTGGGCCCTCCAAACTATTAAAGTTAACCAAAAATAAAAGAGGAACCTCATATACACTCATCACTGCAAACATCATTTCACCTACTACAGAGATTTGGCTGTTGATAAACACAATTATTCATTTATTGGAATAAGACTTGATTGCTATTGTTGATGGAACCATATCAATTTAGGGAAAATTTTATCCTATGGAACATTTCTTATTTGTTGTTATTTTTCCCAAAACGCAGCCTATTTAAACAAGTTAAGAACCTCAATAATAATTATAGTAAAAACAACTAACCATTCTTGCCAACATAGATCTGACAGTCCTTGGACCATAAACACGATTCTGTGATGGCTTCTGAGCCTTTGTATAAAAGGAACTGATGTCTGGTAAAGACAAACACCCCCTGCTTGCTCTAACCAAGCTATGATCTGGATCTGCATTACTCTGATTATGCCAAAAGATCAGCTGCCCCAAACAATAACTTTTTCCATATACCTTCCGGTACTCCTGAATCTCTGCTCCCAGCTTGTTAGTATACTTGGGGCCTAAGTCCAGTGGACTAATATGGACGGGCGGTGAAGTAATGGTTTGATATTCCTGAAAGAAAACAAGATATTTTAAATGTTTAAAATGCAAAGAAAAATGCCCTTTGCAGCTTGGTATTCACGATTGGAAAAACATACATGTATTCTAAAGAAGTGCTTGGTATAAGAGTAAATATGGAGTAAGTCAGCAGCAGCATCATGCCGGCATCTATATGTACAAGAAAGACTTCGGATCTCATCCCTCAACCTATCAACAAAGGGGAAGAAAATAAATTTTAAAGGTTGCAAGTTCCACCGGGTTTAAATACATATAGACAAGCTAGAAGCAAGAACCAATTACCATAATAGAGATTTCCGAAGCTCTTTCTGAATATCTTTCGAACCTGAAGGATCGTGGGCATGAATTTTGGCTTTGAGATCATTCAAGATGTCTTCTTCCACATGAGCGGCTATGCACTGAAGAAGCTCCTCAACAAATGAGCCCTCTCCTTTCCAGAGAGACGAAACAATTGCTTCAGGACTGAGCTTCTCAATAGGAGGCGGCGCTTTCCGAGGATCACCAAATATACATCTCATAACATACCTTACCTGTAATATTCCATCAAAGATTAAAATCCTCCAAACTACAAAATGAAATGGAAAATTACTGATGTGCAGTGAGATAAAACTGTATAAAATGAGTTCACTTTCTCTACTTTCAGATACACAGAAGAGGAAATATTGGGGAAGTGCATACTTGGCATACAGCATAGAGTATAAATTTCTTGATCATTTATAGAAACTGTCAGTATATTTAGCTTTAGCATTCCTCCGTTATGAACACGTTTTAAGTGCCAAACTTTTTTCTCATAGTTATAAATACAAATAACAAAGAAGCAACTAGACCATTGAGAGGCACAATCACCTTATCGAGAGTGACAGCAAGATTCTGAAGTCTTTGGTTGTACACTCCCTCCGCCTGAATCAAAAACCAAAGAAATTAAATAAAATAAAAAGTTCCAATGGAATATAAGAATTCTTAGAATTTGGATAGGATCTAACTCAATCTACAAAACTGGTTTGTGGGTTGAGCGATGTGGGACTCAATCTACATCTAAAAACTTCAAGCCTATATAATATATCACACTCAATGTGGGACTCAAACCCCTCCTCACTCATGCCCAAGACCCGACATCTAAAGCATACAAATGATCCAACCGATTTGGGATAGGATCAAATACCATCTTTGTAAGGTGAAAGATAACTCTGACTTATAATATTTGTTTAGGCCATATTACACCCAACGTCATGATTATTGGGATCTCACTCTAACTCCCAAAATCTTACGATCTTATGCCCCGCCAACCAACCACCGATTTAAGTGGCACAAAGATCTTGGATTTGGCTGGAGCGTTGAACTCCTAGAGAAAGATCTTTAAATTGTGGGATCTTGAGATCCCAACGATCCATTTTTTGTTTTTACCCGTTTTAGACCCGATTCGATCAGGTCACTAAACAATTAGATCCAGCCCATAAACTGACCCATAACTAACCTGACTGTTGTGCACACATATTTTAGGGTTTTGAGATCTGCAATGTTTTAAATGAGCTTTTGAGAATTGTAAAATAGGGATTGTCCACAAACAAAGGCATTTGAGCTCTGAGAATTCTGTATCGATTAATCAATACAATGAATGGATTTCTTCCTTTCATCTATCTTCTCTATAAATTCAAATCAAATCCTTCTATTATGTTTTTTTTTTAATAAAATATTTGCTATTGATGATTAAATTAATGAGAATTTTATGTTAAAGTAATTTTTCATAGTTATTTCTATAGTTTTGTCTATTTGTTGGGATCTTACAATACGTGTTACGATCCTATGATTTACGCTTTTTCTATACCCTAATGATCTTTATCGAGATCCCGATTTTGACAACCATGCCCAACGTAGAACTCTCAACAAGAAAAAATTGAAAATGTCATCTTTATGATAATGAAGCATGTGAAGGGAATAGTGAACACACCTGAACCTCAGCATCACTCCTTTCAACTTCAAGACATACATCTGAAAAATATTTTCTCTTTTCTTCCAGATTATGCTTTAGAATTTCTTCAGGAAGTTTCGTTCTTTCAAAATTGATGAATCTCACCTTTAAAACAGGAGAAATGAAAGCGAAATTTAATACACAACAACCTCAAAAACTAAAATAAAATATTGCTAAAAACATAGGAAGGAACATACAAGGCGGGCTGCATAGGCAATAAGCCAATCTGGCAGGCCCCCAAGCAAACAAATGCCTAAACCAGCTCTACTGAGGTCATTATAATCCTCTTCAGACACGGAGTTTGATTCACAAGCTTCTAGCATCAAATAATGCCGATCAAGAATTCCATGTGAGTCCTTCAAAACCTGAGAGGAGGGACTACATATTTCACTCAACAGATAAAGTAACCAAACAAATTAAATGGAAATATAAACTGTATTGTTCCACTTTTTAAAGCAACCCCAACCAGGGTTTCACGTGAAGCACATTACAAGTTTCAACCATGGCAAGTATGTCCAGTACTTCCACTGAAGTCGTCAAAATATCATATTTCTCCTTTTATTTTCTTAGCAAGAGTTGAAAATTTTGGAATAGTCCAAACCTTTTGAAACGCCCCTTCACCAGTCAGATTCAAGTAGCTCCCGCGGCATACTTGGCTTCCACACAAACAAACCGATGCTTCATACTCCTCCTTGCTCTACAATAAGATGAATACAGAATATGTTTTCATTAGCCAAATATATTGCAGATACTTTTTTTATTGCCTTGAATAGATAGAATCAGCATGCTGGACAAACCTCAGTAACAGAATTGTAATCAAAAGTGATCTCCTCACCATGTTGAATTTTACGAACACTATAAATACCAATTTGATACTGACCATCAACAGCGGTGACTCTGAAAAATGTCAAATAAGATGATATATGATAGCCAGAAACAATATTATAATTTATAACAAAAAACGTAGCAAAAGGATTATGCCCAAGATTTATAATCCTCAGCCGCTAATCAATAAATATATCAAAGCAATTACTGAGGACGGCACTGGGGTAGAATATAAAAAGTATCACTAGATTAAATCTCAAATAGGTTTGATTCCTTGCATCTTTGTTGCCACAGCAAAGACAGTAGAAAAAATTAATGGAAGCTCCATAAACAGACTAGTTAAATGTTAACGTTTCTTGACAATAGGAGCATTTAAAGGCCACTTGAACGTTGTGGAACAAAAGCAATAAGACACAGATCAGGAGATAACGAGGTTTTTTACAAACAATAAGACACAGATCAGGAGATAACGAGGTTTTTTACTTTTAAAAATGTGTAACAAAAAGAATATGAAGCAGCAACTTAACACGTTGATTCATAGGACTTGACCAATAATAAAATTAAAAAGGAACTATCACATATACACACCTATATAAAGTTTTAGCATGTTAAACAATTACTTGACCATAGAAACCATCATATTATTTAAAAGCCTTCTTATGCCCACATAATGGGCCTCAAGCCGTCATACAGGTTTTCCAAAGAAAGCCAGGTGGAGACATCCAAAATGAAGTAAGACTAAGGATAAGGAGATAATGATAAAAAATGTACAACCAAATTAATCATGAATGATTGTAACTAAAATAAAACCATGGCAGAAATAGGGGAATGTATGTGCATAATCTTTTATGGAAATGAGTAGTGGCTGCCTAAAAAATGCCAGCAATGCAATAAAATAGCAAACGAATTGTTCTACAGGAGAACTAGTGTCAAGGCTGAAAAGGTCAGAAAATAGATTTATACCAATCAGATAGCATGAATGATAAACCACTTACTTGGCTTCACAATTGGGTCGGCAAGAATGACATATTCGACTGGCATAATTAGCTTTGTGCATGGCATCAACGACAACTAAGTCATACCCATCCGCATCACCCTATCATAAAAATTGCTAAATTAGTAAGTGCAGAACTACAAGATGAGTGAACTGTATCGAGTTAAAAATCATCAGCTTGTCATTTTGAAGTGACTGGCACCTTTGGTCTCTCAAGGTAGATGTTATAGAACTCTGGTGCTGGATCTGTACTATCTTTCTGCAGAGATCGAATCCCATCTTGTTTCTCAAACCACTTCCACACAGGATAAACCTGTAAAAAAGATTTGATATAATTACAATGCCTCCCCGACGTCACAACATATAACGCCAAAACAGATTTCTAAACAGAACCGCCTCATTTATAGAAGATACGCTAAACCATAACAGCACATCTATTCAGGAGAACAGACACCTCTATATGAACACATTGTGAATGAAACACGGAACAACACTTAATAAAAAAACCTTGGCTGGTAAAGAAAATAATAGTCTAAATCCCCAAAGCAAATAAGCATACCAATTATCCAACGGTCTAGAATTGTAGAGAATAGATCATACCTAGTTTATTAATGACAAAGAGTACCAAAACAATTAGAATTAGATGTGTTCACATTTTTTTATTCTCTATTAGATAGATTATTTTTATTCACTCTATTAAATAGATTGTTGCCCAGGTATTTGACATTATGCAGCATGTGTAAAACCAAATGTTTAGGTTTCGGAAAGAATGTATCATAACTAGTTTAATCAAGTTAGAGAACGCAGAATGTATGCAAAGTTTCCTATTCTCTCTAGTAGATGAATTGATGCTTGAATATTTTACTTCATTCTAGAAACCGGCAATTAGTCCAGAGGTAGAGGCTAGAGCAACCACAAAACATGTATATTTTGCACATAAGTAATCCAGAAAGAAGCTACATGAGTGAAATTACAGAAACATGTATGATGCTTTACCTCTCCCAAAAACTCCACAACAAAATCATCTTGACAGAAGCCTTCTACCTTGTTGCAAACAACACCAAGCCCCTGCATGATCCATCCCAACAAACAGTCTGGGTAAAATAACAGTTTAAAAGCAATAAACAGAGAAAATGCCAGTGGATGATAGTAATAAATTGTAGTTAAATTGCAAAAAGAATATATACCTTTCTATAAGCTACATATTTGTCATCTGGACGACTGTCTATGGCCTTTAGAATACCTTGACACATTCTAATCATTCTTGCATCACAATCTTCTTCGGCGCATCTTCTAATATCGTCAATAACAGGCTGCAAAGGGTAGCTCATTGGAGTATTTCCAGTTCCAGTAGAGCTCCTAACATGCTTATTCAATGTTTGAAGGAGCACGTCTTCTATAAACAAATGCTTCTCTTGCAGAGACCAATCTAAATCCCCTGGCATAGAATCAAGCAAAAGGTTGTGTGTATAAGGATCAATTCCATAAACCTCTTGCTCAATAACCTCATTTCCAAGCTGCTTTCTAGGTTTGAAATCTTTGACTTCAGGAAGCTCCATATCTGACTCCTCTGTGCCATTCTTTTGTGCACTCAGCTTCTCTGCATAATCATCTGGTAATGAAACCCGCATCTTCCTCCGCACCTCCTCCTCATCAGCTACAATGCAATAATGATCAATGACTTCATATTTCCTGGTAACTGGAGGAACCAGACTTGCTTTTGTCATGCGAGCACCCCACTCTCGGTCATCAGTTATGAAACCCGACTCTTCCTCAGGTGAGAAGCATCCATCCCCTCTTGGTTCCCTAATCAAAATTTGTGAGCGTACTTCATGGTCACTTTCAGACTGAGTTGACGTAGTATCACTGTCACTCTTGTCATCATCAAAAGACCGATCAAGATCATCAGATGTTTCACTGTCGGAGCCCATGGATTTCTTATTCAACTTTGATAAGCGCCTCCTAATATCTCTATCAGAGGTATACTCTACATTATCCAAAATATTATGTTTTCCATTACTCCTGTACTTCCTTTCTTTCACTAATCTATTTTTTTTATACTTTGACGAAGTAGAACAGAACATTGCTGGCGAGTCACTGTCCCATGACTTCAGTAGGACATCTCTGCCATGCACATTTTTAGAACTCACTTCCAACCGAGCTGCAAGTTGAATAAATAATGTGATAATGTGATTCATGTCACTAGAATCACCCCGATTTTTTGCTCTGTAATCAATAAGCAAACAGGAGTCAAAATTTAATGTAAATATTAGGGGCAGGGTAGGGCGACAAGATTGAGTGGTCAGATGAAATACACCCATTTTAGATTACCCATGAAAAATGAGCTAAATGAACAAATTCATAAATAAAAACAACTCCGCAATATATATAATATATATTTTTGAAGATAGTATCTAGATGCAAAAAACAACTAGAATTTATGCAAACCCACCAAACTTAACATGGATGGAAAACAACTATAACTGCAAAACAGTAGAGCTAATGCATACAGATGAGAATCAAATGGATGAACCTCGAAGGCAAGAGGATACAGTACTTAATCAGACTTTGGACAAAACTATGAACTATAAGATCTTTACATCCTTGTCCTCAAAACTAATAAACCCTACCATCCTCATTTCAAAGTGTCCAGCAGTACATAAACCAGGCATCAGGAGAAAAAGAGAACAGTCACCTTCTCCCAAGAAAAAAGGAAAAAAAGAACAAGAGAACTTACTTTATTGCATCACGGCACATTCTACTTATGTCCTCTTTGACAGAGCTCAATCCACGGCTACTGTAATAACCATTTTTCATTTTAGCCTCAATTTCTGCAACCTATTAATAAAAAAGTACCAGCAGAAATCATGAGTCACAGAAGGCATCTCCATAATAATAAATTTTAAAGAATAAATCACACTACCTTGTGTACAAAGAAGTCACAAGAATTTGACTTCATGATTTCCTTTAGTCTCGAAGCGAGGAATTCCTCCATCTTCTTAAAACCACTTTCAGACTTCTTAATAGCCCAACGTCTTGTACGAGCATCCCTAGATAGAATGGAAGAGGACCTTCTAGCATCATATAGTTTGGACCGCTTGTATAAGTTTTGCCGAAATAACTGCTTTGCCGAATCTCTCTTATCCACGCTATCAAAATACTCTTTCAATTGACCAAAACCATCTATTCTTAAATTGCTGGATTTGGATGTAGATGAAACTTGTTCTGTAATTCTATCCATGCGTGAACTTCTGCTCTTGATCCATTTCACATTGGTAAATTTAGGAGTTAGCTCTCTAAACTGGCTGCATCCTCTAATGTCTATGGTACATAAACCAGGAAATGAAAGAAGAATTTTCTCAAGTATGTCAGCCGTAATATTGTTACACCCCATTAGAATGATTGAATTGATCTTGTCTCTCTCATAGGCATTCTGCAGAAAAAATAATCAAGTCCTATGTGAAAGAAGAATAAAAAATACCAAAAATGTGAACCAGAAAATATATATCAGACCTACCATAATGTTCCACAACACAGTATCAGTGCAGGAAGGCCCTAAGGATGACAAATTGGCCTGTATTGAAACTTCCTTGTAAAACCTTACAGCAGCACTCCAATGCTTGCACGTCATCGATGCAAATACAAGGGACTTAAAATCAGATCTCAAAAAATGAAAAATTCGTGCCAATACCGGACCATCCAATAAGCCCCAGCTTCCCACTTCAGAATCAGAGATACCAATTTCGTCTTCAGGAAAGGTAGCATCACCACATAGATCTTCAAAAGTGGGTTCATTCTTGTCAATGGTAACATCATCTTCCAAACCACTGTCTTCTTCACTATCATCAACCAGCATCCGGGCTCTTTTGGCAGCTCGCATGTCGCCTTCTGAAAATTTACATGCCCCAACACACACAATAAACAAGAAAATAATAAGACCGCTTGAATTGAATTTCCAGAATAACTCTAATCTAGAGAACATTACCCCACACAAGCACATGACAAGGCCACACACATTAGTCAGAAGTTTGAACTAAAAATAAAAAAGCTGACAAAATCAAATTTTACAGAGATAGAGAAGAGTGGGGGTGGGGAGGAATATGAAGGACCAATAATTACCTGATTTCCAATATATTTGTTTCTCAATATCTTTCTTTGGTTGTCTTGCATTGATCCAGGGATCTAAAACCTCATTTATAGCAGCGGCCAACTCCCGGCTCTTGTATGATTTCATAACCAGTTCGTGCAGCTTCCCACGAGTAAAACCAACAAACTGAGGGTGTATCCAGTTAAACATACTTGAACTTGTGTAAGATCCACCACCATATGAAACACCTTGAGTTTGCTCTGATTGATGATCAGAGCATGCACCCAATGTTGAACTGCTTTTTTGGTGGCTTGTGAAACAGACATCTGTAGTTTCTGCGGTAGATGTAATAGGAACCCAGAGTTTATCATGTTTCCTAAACACACTGCTATGCCTTTTTACAATTCCTTGATCTGCTAAATGTTGTAGCTCTGAAAATGATGAAGGCCCTTTCTCACGTCCAGAACCATCAATGTAATACCAGTCACCCAAATGTAGCTGCAACTCCTGGATAGTACAGACATGGTCTTTAGGGACACTAATGGACTCCATGCTTTGGTAAGAACCTTGATCACTAACTGATTTTGACTGAGAATCGTCTTCAGTTGATGATCTCTTACTATCACAGGTTGAAGTGAATGGCCAAGCTGACCTTGGATGTTGTCTATCCTTGCCTCGGGTCTGGTGGCGTGACTCAGTGAGCAGCAATCCCTGATCATTGACAACGCATGCATTTATCCTTACCACCGAAAGAACATTTCCTTTCATTCCTTTGACAGAAGAAGGCTTACTTTGAATAGACTTGCTTGCAGCATTGCAATCAACCCACTCATCAGCACCAACAGCCCACAAAGGGAGATCAAGCCTCCTGGTTTGAGAAGGAAAATACAAGTCATCTTTTTCAGGCCATCGAGGATCTTCACATCCAGACTTCGGCATTTGGCACAACAGAAAACCATTATTTAGAACAAGTTTTTTCCTAGAACATCGAACGTGGGCATCATCGTTCCTCTTCCAGTCACCACCTTTGCATGGCCAATGAGTAGAAAACCAATCCTTAGGAATGCCAAACCCATTATCCATGTTGTCTATACTTAACTGAGATTCAGAATCTCTTGTTGCTAAATAAGTACTTGAATCACAATCTTCCCTAGGGCGGGAAACATGCGAAGGAAAACCTGAACAGAGACGAACACTTTTGTCACAGCTTCACAAGACATACAACTCAAAGTCCATATCCATTTACTTTGGGAATGCCCCATATATAGAATAATGATAATGAACAAAAAAGTTTTGGGTGCATTGGCAAAACACCGCAAATTAAATAGCAACTTTGAATTCCATATATGGTGTAAAATATAACCCACACTTGGTTAGCCTTTTTTTAAAATAAAAAAATTGAAGTACGATTTTATTCAGTTAATCCGCTTCCAATGCATAGATGAATTCAAAATTTCAGACCAACTCAACTCACGATATCAATGGCAAAGATTAAAATGACAGCATTGGATTGACATAAACTTTTTGTTTAACTGAGAATTAGAAAAAGTAGGCAAGCATAAGAAAATGTTTTTTTACAAAAGAAAAGGGTTATTGAGTAAAGCATAAAATGATATGCAAAATTCCATAAATTTATAAATAATCACAAGTTATTTAGATTTCAGGCACCAACTCCTTATACTATCTCCAAGGACCAAACTACACTACAAATCAAGTTAATGCTTATATATAACGTTCAAATACGTATAATCTCTCAACCCGTCAACCGTTACCAACATCAAGAAAAGAGTCAACATGCCAATGCGCAAACAGACAACTCTGATAATAAAATAACCTAAATATTGCCAGGTAACGTAAAACAAAAACAAAATTACCAAAATGGCCAACAACTAAAATCACCACAGCAGAATACATACCTTCATAGTCTCCTAATCCATCTTCCTTTGCATATTCAAACTTCAATTGCAAAGCTTCTGCAAATAAATAATAATAAATACCAAGTTTGGAATAGATATTTCAGAGTAAATAGGGGAAAAATGAAGTTTCAGAGATCTTTTCACACTTTTTTAGAAGATTCAAAAGAATAACATTGACGGGATAAAATACCTTTTACTGCCTCAAGTTCCAACCCAGGAGTGACATCATAACCCTCTAACAGATTTTGAACTCTTTCATCAATATAGAAGTTGTCCAAAAGTTCAGATGTAAGCACACTTTCGCTAGGTTGTCCGTGTGGCAGCAGCGAGGGCCCCGGCATTTCTAGATAATTCTCAGGACCAGATTGAATATCTGCAGCATCGACCAAAATATTACCAGAAGCCTCTGGAGGATTTACAAGCTGAGTTATTGTATCTGACACAATAGACTGGAAACTCAGAGCAGCCAATGGCGACACTGCATTTTCAACTGTTAGCCATCTGTCACTATCCAAGTGCTTGATAAAATGATCTGACATTAGTACCCCTTCATCAACAAGGAGCTTAATGTCACACAATTTGGAAGGCCCATTTTCTACACCTCCATAATCAAGGTAAAACCATTTTCCTGATGACAAATCTGTCACCACAGGGACATGCGGAGGGGTATCACAAATGTCCATATCTTCTTCCATTGAAGGCAGCTCATCTGGAGGTGGTTGTGGCTCGAGGTGTGGAGATTCTTTCGGATCAATAGTTGGACTACAGGACTTCTGTTCCTCAACGGGTTGACTATCACTAATATCTTTCTCAATTGACTCGTCAGTCTTTTGCATGTTTCTTTCACCTCGAGATTCTGCAACTGAAAAATCCAACTCCTTCTGAATGAGTTTATCTTCATCACTCTGACAACTATTTGGGGAATTCTGCTTATCACATGATGAGTTCTTGCAACTTGTTTCATCATGAACATCCTTCCTAGTTTGATCAAGGGGGGATCCTTCTACTAAATTTGGAGTACAGTCCCTGTGATCATGACGCCGACCTTGATCTTGTGGCAACTGCTCGACGCGTGCTGGACTTCTCAATTTATGACTGTGCTGTCGCCAACCCTGATCTTGTGGCGACTGCTCGGTGAGTGCTGGACTTCTCATCTTATGGTCATACTGTCGCCAGCACTGATCTTGTGGCGACTGTTCGGTACGTGCTGGACTTCTCAATTTATGATCATGCTGTCGACTTCTGTCCCAGCTCCTCATATATGGGGACCTCTCCCGACCATGGGGGGATTTCTCCCGGCTATATGGAGATCTCTCACGACTAAAGGGCGATCGGCGCACTGAAGTGCGCTCTCTATGATCGTAATACCTACTTCGGTCATGTGGGGACCACTCAGAATGAACAGGGCTGCGTTCATGTCTGTCATAAGCTGGTCTGGTAGAAAAAGAAGATTCATGATTCCTAGAAGAATACTTTTCTGAAGAAAGTTTGGTAGAATTATTATTTCTATAAGACTGCTCCGCAGGGCGACGAGAATAGCTCTCTGAATAAGGATAGCTATCATCAGAAAGCTTTCTACTTTTTGAACTTGTAAAATCTGCAGAATGCTTCCGCTCATAGCTGTCAAAATCATTACCGAGCCTCTTCAAGCGACTTCCAGAAGAGTAATCTCGTGTATGATCCTTACCATTGCTATATGCATTTTTCTCGTCATCTACAATCTTTGAACCGTTCCTTATATTCCTCTGCTGGGCATTCTCCCACCTGGGAGAAATTTTAGCATGCTGATTCCCACTTCTATTAATAAATTCTTTCTTCCTAATAGAATCTTCACCTGTATATCTCCAAGAAGGTGGTGTACGATCACGTTGAAATTTACAAACTTTGTCCTTACCTGAATAATTTCTGCGGTTACTGCTGTTACCATAATCATTCTTCCCAATTGGTCCATTATGCCATCTATTTGGAATAAACTCTCCTCTCTCAACATCATCTTTCACACCTCTCCATGGTCCACCATATTCATTTTCTCCTCTCCTAGCCTTCTCATGAACTATCTCCCCTCTTTCCACATCGTCTCTTCTCCATTTCCCATGATGAAATTCTCCCTTCTCAAACTCCCTTGCTTTCCATCTATCACTAACAATCTCCTCGTTCTCATCCTCACTTCGTCTCAACGACATATTTATTTCCGGCAGAAACTCTCCATTTTCTATTTCAACTTCACTTCTAGGCCACTTCAAAGCAATCAACTCACCCTCTTCAACTTCTTCCTTCTGCACCTTATCACCACATACCATTTCATCATTCTCAACATCACTTCCACTTCTCTTATCCACTCTATCCAATGCTAATTCACTCTTTCTCGATTTCATATTCTTGAGCAACTTGAAGTTGAAGACATTCCCACTATTGCCTCCGCAATGCGTTTTCTCTGAACTCGATAACCTCTCCATATTATACTGCAAAGGCATGCATAAGACACCTCCATCGCCCATGGAAATCTTACCTTCGACGTTAGAAAACCCTAGCTCTTCCTTTGGCCGGGGCTATTGATGCTCATGCTTCAAACGCTTCACCTCTTCTTAATCCTCCCACAAATCAAAAACCCTAAATCACACCACAAAAAACATAATTAGCAAAGAGATTAAAACCAAAAACAAATGCATATATATAATTCAACACCGTCATAACCGAAATTCGCGATAAATTTTACGTGAGAAAAAAACCGGTTCGTGAATCAAACACTACGAACCAACTCCATTGAAATCGAGAACGATGATTCATCGATGAAGAAGAGTATGAAGAAGAGAGAATTACCGAGGAAATGAAAGAGAGAAGAATATAGATCGGAGAAGAATCGTAGGTGGTGGTGATGAATCTCGGAGCGAGAGAAGAAATGAGATCGAGAAGTGTGAAATTCTCGCGAGATGAATTGTGGAATCAATAGGGTAATTAGTAACAGTGTGTTCTTTCTTTCTTCTCTTTCGCGCTTCGTTATGTTTTCTTCTTTGCGTTGAGTTTGTGTTCTTGTTGCTATGGATTAAAGAAGAAAGCCTTCCTTTTATTATTTATCGATTTTTTTAATCTTTCTTTTGATTTATCGGTTACTGAAATACGGAAATGCCCCTGCTAGATTTAATGTATTTATACTAATGATTATGTTTTTGGGCTTCGTGTTTTAACTTGACGAGAAAAGTCTAAATTGAAATTATATTTATGAATGGTTAAAGATTTTTTTCCGGTGGAATGGTGAAGGAGAGAAAAAATTTCTCCAACGACATTTTGGTGCGGGATTAGAAAAATATCATTTGTCTATGTGGATTCTCCAACTTCAACGTATTATTTAACGTTTATATTTTATATTTTATATAATATATAATTATATAAGGAAAATTTTATGTGTATTTCTTTAGGTGTGGTTTATGTTTTTTCTCCAATGAAAAATATAACAAGTTTATATATAATAAGTTTATAATTTCCTTTTACATATGCAATATCTTCCTACTTTTACTCCTTAAAAGATATTCAAGTATATTTGTCATTTTTTATTAGAGAAAAGTATGAACCACATCTATGAAATTGTATCTAAGTATTCTCCATTATATAATTATATAATTTTACATAAAAAAATATTAATATATTAGAAATTGAAAAGTCATTAGCGGGTCATTTTATTTTTGTGTTTTATTATATAATGTATTGTTTCACTATCCAAATATCCAACTCTAGAAAAGTGCACTCAATACATAGAATGTACACATCGTCTCCTTCTTTTATTTTCTCAATTATCTTTGTCTCCTCCATTCATCATCTTTTCAGTTCTCATCATCATCATCACAACAACCACTCTCATTTGTTCATTGTGTTTATGATAATTACTCTTCAAATTCACTTTACTTTCATTAGTAACATGTTTTTCATTCAATTAATAAATTAGTAGTTATGGATTTGCCACACTCACACATAATCAACCACTTACGCTGGACAATGGTCGTACTCTGATAGTAAATTAGCGGAAGCATGATAACAAATTATGTTAATATTTATTTTTTTTTACAGAAAAATATTAGTAACTCCAGGCGCTTTTGCTTTTTTTAGTTATTGATGCAAGATGTATTTTTATTTTTTATAAAAGAAAGTGCTAAATGTATGTATTTTTTTTAAAGGAAAAAAATAAAAAATACTAGTGTCATAATTTTGATCGAAAAGTATATAAATTTTCTTAAGATTCAATCTTCATGGATCTCCGTGGATCTTCGTGGAGATCTATGGGGATGGGGATGGAGGAAAATATTCCCCCGTAACAGGGATTGGGGACGGAGATGGGAAATAAATTTGGAGATGTGGCGGAGAGCAGGGAACATCCTCCGAATATTCTCTGCCCTATTGACATCCCTGTTTATGATGAAAGAAAAAAAACAACAATGCACTCACTAGCCAACTAGAATAGCGAGAGAAGAAAGCATAGTCAGATATATTACTAGGAATGTCAACGGGGCAGATAATGTTCAGAGGATGCTTCTTCGCTCCCTGCCCCACCCCCAAATTTATTTTCCATCACTGTCCCCAATCCCCACCACGAATGAATATTTCCCCATCCTCATTGCCATAGATCCCCACGGATATCCATAAAGATCGAATCTTAAGAAAATTTATATATTTTTCAATCAAAACTATGACACTTGTATTTCGTTATTTTTTCCTTTATTTTAAAAACAAATATATTTTGCATCTTTCTTTTTTTTAAAATGAAAATACATGTTGCATCAATAGAAAAAGAAAAAACACTTGTTGTTGCTAATATTTTTTCTGAATAATAAATATTAATAGAACTTGTTGATATCATGCTTCTGCTAATTTATTACCACAATATCATTGTCATCCAGTGCAAGTGGTTGATTATATGTGAGTGTGGAAAATCTATAACTACTAATTTATTAATTAAATGAAAAATGTAACACCCCGAATTCTAGATTAATCATTTAATTGATTAATTTAGCGTGATTATATGAGTCAATATGAAGTGTTTGGTGCCTTGATTTGCGTTCAGAGATCAAGTGGGCGTTGGGTATCAGCAGATCCATGTGTTTTTAGAGTTGGTGGACAGCTACAGAATCTATAAGCAGGATAGCAAAGCTCATTTAGCTCACTATAAGAGTTCGAATGAGAAAAGAGGAAGGCAATATCAAGATCGTAAGAAGCCTTATGATGCATGTGATGCGGTGGGAGAACTGACTTGAGGTTTTGCGTTTGTGTTCACAAATGTTTTGGTTTAGCAAGAGTCGCCACCGACTTTTTATTTTATCCAAAGGAAAGGTCAAAAAGCACAGGAAAGACCTTTGAGATTGCTTTTGGGTTCGGGGGGTAGATTATGAAAAGGGAAGGTGCTAGCACCCTTTTCATCCATGGTTTTCCATGGGCTCTTAGTTACTTGTTTTAGATCACTTGCTTTTGCTTTTCAATTGTTTGAAATGGTGCTTTTGTGTGTGGTTTTGAAAGTATTTTGAAAAGAGGCCTTTGTTTAGGCAACCTTTGTAATGATTCTTGTTTGAATGTATACAAAGGTGTTTGTCTTTTGAAAAATGTTTCAATGTTTGAAAGTTTGTTTTGGGAAATGTTTTGAAATTGTGTTGTGATGTGTTTTTGAAAATAGCAAGGATGTTTGCAAGTTTGATCAAGTAACTATGAGCATCTACCTACCTACTCAAAGATCTTTCCTATACATTTTTAACCATTTGACATTGTTGTTTTACCATTGCATTTGGTAAACAACCTTGTGTTTGGATGTTAAACGGGACGGGCGTGGGTCATCGTATGACCATGATAGCAATTGTGCCAAGTATCTTAGCAAGTTTTTGTTTGAGGGACTAGATCATTTTTGTATAGGCAACCAAGATAGCGTCATGGAGGGACTATGATCTTTTGTTTTTGTTTGATTTTGCCAAGATACCTAGCATGCATACCATGGCCATTTTAAAGGCAACAAGTGGATGAAACCCTAGGGGTGTTTGTGTGCATTGTGTTGTCATTTTCATGCATTTTTGTCTTGTGTTTAGTCAAGCTATTTGTTTTGATTTTTGGTTCTTTGCATACAAACCCTAATTTACTATCATGCATATTAAAGCGATAAAATGCGTAAAAATAAATCTAAGACTATTACAACATGATTATGGGGAGGGGGATACAAGTTTGAATAGGGGGATATTTGCACAAAAATAAAACCCTAAAACTATTACAACCATATTGAATTTATTGCACAAATAATAAATTGACAATATTTAAATACGCAATTAAATATGAATATGCAAAAATGTTTTTGTATTTATTTTATGTATGTAAAATAAATTATTTAATGTCCTAAAAATATGAAAATAAAAGATTATTTTTGGAAAGGGTGAAGAAATCCTAATTTTGTTTTAAGAAAAATATATATATTATATTATTTATTAATGTACAAGAAAATAAATAAAATATACACAAAAGTGTTAAAAAATTAAAATGTGTGAGAAAATATTATTTAAGTGTATAAATAATAAAAATAAAAATATGTAATATTTTTGTATTAGTTATAAGTTTTTTATTTAAGAAAATAAATGTATTAAACCTAATAAACTAAATATTATGCCAAAAATAAAATATAAAAAATAGAAATAAAATGTGAAAATTTAAGAAAATATTTTTAGTGATTTTTAATATTCAAGAAAAATAAATAAAGTCATAAAATGAAAATAGAAATGAAAAATATGAAAAAATAAAAACAATGGGCCAAGGGGGTGCAGGAAGTAGGATGGAGGGTGCAAATAGCCAGCCAGAGCCAGGCCCAGCCCAACTCACTTCATCTCTAACCTCTGAACAAGAAAATGCGCGCCAATGGTTCAAATCCGTATCTCCTGCATTTGTGCTTAGAAACAAAAACTTGCAACATGAAAGTTATAGCTCTTGATCACACGATTCTAACCATGTAAAAAACTTAATCTAACTCTCAAAGACCAGAGAGAATTTCTTTGGCCCTAAATTTTGACCTAGTTTTTTCAGAAATTTCAACTATCAAATACTCCTAGCTCAGTTAACATAAATGAATTCTATGCATATGTACAGCTCAAGGGCAATGAGGACTACATTTTTTCTTCACAAACCTAAGCCTAATGATTCCTAAATAAGGAGATAGAAGTTTGAGAAATACCTGTTTCAGTCAAGCTCGAGTATGGCAATGTAGGGGTTGTGAGTGAGGCATGAGATACTTGTGAGCTTGCTTGAAGTTCCTTTGAGTTTTCCCAATGCTTAGCTTGCTTTGAAATGGTCTGAAACTTCTTGTAGAACTCAACCTGCAAACTCAGAATTTGAAAATGGTGAAGTGTGTAAATGGAGTTACAGTGACTTGGGAATGGTTGGGATAGCTTAGGTATGTTGTATGGAGTGTGTTGGAACTGGTTGCAAGCAAAACGCACGAGGCAATGTGAAGATGGAAGTGATTCTGCAGGGCCTGCCCTGTTTT